TGTAGTGAACAAAACAAACTGCAAATGGACCGTCTCTGAAATCACTGGTTACTGCATTAGTGGTAGTGGTGCAAGTAAAAGCATGAAGGAACAACCTCTTCCAGTACCTGCTGAGTAAAAATTACTCAACTAACTGCACCAACATTCAGCAGCAGAGCAACCAGAGTATCCCGATCTCCATATGACCTGCATAAATCACACCAGAAACACAGAGGTGCGTATCAGTGCTTCAGAAACTATTCCTTCACCAATCAGCAACTCATTCCGTTTTGTAGCTGGCTCTTGGTGGTAATGCAGAAGAACGAGCCCAAACAAGAATAGCCGGCAAAAACCAACAGATGAAGTGATTCTTTTCTGAACATTTGACTGAATTTCAGCATCTGGATAATACTATGGTGCTTTTGTCAGGTCCACTGCTCTTGAGTGACCTGCCCAGAGCAGCTCCAAGTGACTCCAACCAATAAAAGTTCTGAGTATTATTAAGGGGAGTGGGATTTTTTGGACTGTGGCAATGTGTACGCTCCTAACCTCGGCAACAATGCATCAGACAAAAAAAATAGCTCAAACGTTCAGCAATAGAGTATCTATAATTTTTAAGTGGGGCAAACATTGAACACTGCAATATTCAACAAAATGCACCAGAATACCCTGATACAATTCTAGCACAGCAGAACAATCACGCCTTCCCACACAAATGGAAAAGGAAAATGAACACCGTGAAGCCCCATCCAGCTTCATCGTTTGCAAGTCTGCGACGGCATTCTTCGCCTTCAATCGTACGTTGCTCCAGGCTCGCAGCCTTGGTTTCACATCGGGGTCATTTGTGCCCATTTGACCGGTCGAATTAGCGAATTAACTAAAAAAGGCTTTCGCCCCGCTTTATAAATAAAGCAACGAATTAGCGAATTAAGCAACAGGAAATAAGTCCCGATCTCTGTTTGGCTTCTTGATGATCCTGTTTTTATCTAGCAACCATCTGGTCTGAAGATAGAAACTACCACGGGCGACGGCCATGAAGAAACCCTAGCCCACCCCGATCAAGTCCGATGAAGCCGTCCGCGATTCACCCAGTGACAGGAGTGAGGCGGCTTGAAACGGGAGGGATATGCGTCGGCCGTCGTTGGGGTCAGAGCCCTCGTCAAGTTCGCCGGGAGACGCACGCACGACGGTGCGACCAGACTCGGAAAGCCACGGCAGCACCCAGGACAGCAAGCCCAGTACTAATCTCCAAAATGCGCCAGCCCAACCCAATCCCAACAATCTGGGCTTTGTCTTTTTCCAGTCCGGCCCAACAACTATTGTCGCTCGCCGGTGCTCCGCCGCGCGAGCGCTGCCATCGCACTTGGCTGCCACCACACCAGTGAGTGAGTGTTCTAATCATTGTGCAGCTATTTGACATCGACAAAGTGGGAGCCAGCGCGCAGCGCAGGCAGCCTCGTGCGCCGGCCGGCCGGTTCCGCCCCTCGCCGTGATCCCGCCTCCACACGAGCCATTGCGCCCAGCCCGGCCGCGCAGCCCGCGGAGAATGGAAGGAATGATGAGATGAATTGAAGACGGCCACGGCGACGACAAGGACGGCGATCACCCCCACGCCCGCGGTCAATGCCGGCGCCAAGTGCCAACGCCCCCCGACAGACCACCTACATTTCCTCGCCGGTTTTAACTCGCTGCAGAGACGCGGCCGGACATGTGCGTACACCTACTCGCCGGCGTTTCCAACGTTGGACAGCGCCGGAAGCAACCAGGGGCATTCCTCCGCGCCACTGTTCATCGTCTCATCACGCTCTCTGAAGACAGCGAGTTGATTAGCGCGGCCAAGTACCTTCGATCCATCCAGCGCGCCGCGACGGGTGGATCCGGTTAGCAGACCAATAATGCCGTTGTCACGCACGCACAGTGCGCCGCGCAGGCCTCTATCGAGAGAAAGATTGCTCGGCAGGAAAGGGCAGGGGAGAAGAGAACAGAGGGACAGGGCGGCGCGAGAGCGACCCGTATCCGCAGCATCAATTCCATCGGACGTACGCAGCCGCGATCGGTCGACCGTGGCCTGGCCAAGAAAGCGAAGCAAATCGGAGCATACACCCACGCCACCTACCCCGTGGGGGGGTCCGGGGGAGGGGAGCAGCCCGATAAATTGGCAGCGTACGTACAAATCGACGAGCAGCAAGAAGCTTCGGCCGATACTCCACTTGCGCCTTGGTGCCTCGCCGTTAACGTAAGAGCGAGCGGGATCGCCGGTAAGTGGCGGCACCACCGCGGGTCGGACCGTCATAACTAAATCCATGAGCAAATTAAGCGGCTGCAGCGCAGTGGGGCACGGATTGAAGGCCTGCCTGCCTGCCTGCCTGCTGTAGGTCATGAGGCCCGGATCATCATCGGCTTGATGATGGAGAGAAGAAACAGTTGACATCTGCCGTTCATGCCAAGCAATGTACCTGGCTGGATGGCCGTACCACATGTTCATGCAGTGGATCTAATCTAGTATGCTGCTGGGGCTAGCATATCACCAAAACTCCTCCGGAGAAACCCTGAGCTGCAAACGGAACAATCTTTAATCGGTTGCGGATTTCCAGAGATGGCAAACGAGCGGCATCTTCAGGGCAGATCAGCTAGGCTGTGTTGCACTGTAGACAAGTGGCAATGGAGTACCAGTGGAGTGCAGTACTGGCAGTCCTGAAGCAACCGGGGGCCGATCGATCGATTGCTGAGCCCTAGCTAGCCTATCATGCCAGCTCCCCGCTTTTGGCCCGGCTGCTGCTGCTTCCAAGTGCCAACTGCGCAGTGCTCCATGTTGCTTGCATGCTTGCACAGTTGCACTAAAGTAGACGCTAGAGACGATCGGTCCAGTGAGTCCTCTGCTCATAATTACTCGGCATCTTTGGTGCTCCTCCTGCCACTGCTGCTCGTCTCGTAGATCTATCGCGCCTGCATGTTAGTAACAGCGACTGCACGCGCGTCGCGGTTCGATTGCGCGCGTAGCTTTTGCATTGCAGCCGCGAAAAGGACGGAAAACCGTAATCTAATCAATCAGTTGATCAAAGGTCCTACTAGTACGTTGGTGATAAATGCATGCAGGGATCGTGAATCGTGATACATGCATACATATTCATTCCGCAAGCTCAGCTAACTGCATGCCTACGTAGCCAACAACATTTTTTGTAGTCCACGTTGGGTTGGGCCGGGTAGGGAAGGGGGCGACACGCATTTCAGTTTATCTGTGCCCGGAACAACGCCGGATGCCTCCGAGAAGAGACGCGTCGATCGCACGCAGCCTAGGCTGGAAACCGACCGCTCGTTGCTGGCCAGCCTCCCATCTCCGTCGTCTGCAAACTCTTCTGAATCTTGTCAGCACATACGCGACCTCCATTCAGGCCAGGAGTAGGCTGATGCGTGAGGGGTTCAGTTGAGGCCAGAAAGAAGCCGGGCACCTCGGGCGGGCCTCCAGAGTGACTCATCTCACTTGGCCTTGGCAGAAGTGTCGGTAGCCGCGGCGTCGCGCTTTGCTGGCTGGCGCATGGATGGATGGTCGGGGCTCTTCCCTTTTGCGAGGGCGAAAAGGGGATAAGATGAGTAGAAAATGGAGGGCGTCTGTACTTTTTTCCCTATTCTTTGGCCTCTCAATGATTTGCAGCGTGGGAAAAAGGGTTATTCCATGTATGTATAGAAAAAAGGCTATGGGACAAAGGGCACCAACTGTTCTCCATTGCTATTACTCGGTGCATTGCACCGTCACATGCGCACACACACACGTTCCCTATTGGTGGATTAAATACGTAGCAAATTGTATGTAAACACAGCTGATGCTTGGCGATATGTTTTACTCCTTTCGTTCCAAAATAGATGACTCTATAAAATTAAGTCATCTATTTTAAAACGGAGGTAGTACTTCACAGGAAGCGGGACCGTGGGAGTGCCACGAACTGCCATTTTGAACTGGGGGCGTCAACTCTGTGCGACAACTGTAGCTTGTCCTCTTGTCTTAATGCCTCTCTTTGACTTTTGCTTTGTTTACCGGCTTGGACGGGAAAACACATTCAATTGGTCGGCAGCGGAATACTTACTGTAGATTATCAGCACTGGACTTAATTACACCCTCCCGGAGGGGAAATGCAGAGATGAGAGTGGAGCAGAAGAGGACGAACGACAAGCAGAGTACTCCTAGCTTAGAAAGATGCTAAATTTCTGCGACGCTGCTGTCACGGCCAGTTCCTTTTTTGAAGGAAGAGAAAAGGAGGAGGTGAACAGGTGAAACTTTTGGTGCTACCGCAGTGAAATGAAACCTTTTGCTAATGGGAAACACCAGAGGCATTTTTCTCCCTACCCAAGCAAGCAGTGAACACTTTCCCTAAGCTAGGCATGCAGCCAAGCAGGGCCTCCAGAGATTCCCCTCAACAACTGCCCTGCTTCTGGTTTTGTAATTTGTACGCCCCCAAGCCCCTTGCCACCCACCCGATCTCCTCAACCGACGGTCCGGATCGAGCCGGCGACACCGACGGTGAAACGCATGTGTCCGTCGAGTACACACCCCACAGAGAGATAACAACGCCGAGGAGACGTAGGAGTACAGACAAGACAGAGGCTACTGTACGCAGCAGCCGGATCGCAGGCGTTGATCACGACTTTATTTACTCCCAGATCCCTTCGCCTCTGACTTGCGACCTTTTGTTACACCACCGCACCAAGCTCCGTGTCAGATTAACCGACGCTTCAGCTGCCAGCGGGCCCCGTCGCGCAGAAACGGACAACCTTCCGTGCCCAGCGCCCCCCGGGCCCACCGAAACCGCCCACGGTCCACCCCGACCCCGACCCGAGCTACCTACACTCTCGCCCCCGCTCGTCGTGCTCTCAGTCTCACTCGCTCACACTCGGTGCTCGCGGCCTCCCGCTATATGCTGCGTCGCACCGGCAGCGGCAGCGCCGGCATTGCTGCTAGTGGAGGTGGCTGCCATAGGAGGGTGTAGCTTGGCAGGGGACGGGGTGTAGCGCGGGCGTGAGCGGAGATGGCCGGGCGTGAACGGAGCGCGCGCGCAGTGGCGTCGCCGCCGCCGCCGCCGCCGCTGACCAACGAGCTGTCGCGCAGGACGCCGGTGCTGGGGCTGCGCCTGTGGGTGCTCGTCGGCCTCGCCGTCGGCGCCGCCTTCCTGCTCCTCCTCGCGCTCGTCTCCGTCCACCTCGCGGTGGCCGCGCGGCGGCGCCGTCCCAAGGGGAAGGCGGCGCCGGCGCCGCTGTCGCCCGCGACCATCCCGCCGGTGTCCAAGGAGATCCAGGAGGTGGCCGTCCACGTGGGCTCCCTCCGCCACTACCTCGAGATGGGCGCCGCGTACCTCAAGGACGGCGGCGGCAAGGACGGCGGCGACTCGCTGTGCGGCAGCGTGGCGCACGGGTCGCAGCGCGTGCACATCGAGGCCGGCAAGGACCGGCGCATGGTGGCGGCGTGCGCGGACGCGGAGGCCGGGTCCGTGCAGTCCGACCCGGCGTCGGCGTCGTCCGTGGGGGCGGGCCCCGGGCCCGAGGTGTCGCACCTCGGGTGGGGCCACTGGTACACGCTCCGCGAGCTGGACGAGGCCACCGCCGGCTTCGCCCACGACCGCGTCGTCGGCGAGGGCGGCTACGGCATCGTCTACCTCGGCGTCTTCGCCGACGGCCGCCAGGTCGCCGTCAAGAACCTTCTCAACAACAGGTGCGTGCGTGCCAACAGAGCAGACCAGAGCGCATGTGCGTGGCTAGCTCCGTGACATGTTTGCCTTTGTGTTTCTTGGCGCATGTCGCTGGCCGGCGCAGGGGACAGGCGGAGAGGGAGTTCACGGTGGAGGTGGAGGCGATCGGCCGCGTCCGCCACAAGAACCTCGTCCGGCTGCTGGGCTACTGCGTCGAGGGAGCGCACCGGTACGCATCGGTTGATGATGGATCGACACCGTCTTTGTGCCTAGCTACGTGCTCCTCTCAATCTCACCTACCACGCAGCACTTGACACTTGACACTCGCCACTTGCTTGTGGCCTCAGGATCCTGGTGTACGAGTACGTCGACAATGGCAACCTGGAGCAGTGGCTCCACGGCGACGTCGGGCCCGTCAGCCCGCTCTCCTGGGACGCCCGGATGGACATCGTGCTCGGCACGGCCAAAGGGTGGGTGAACTCATCTATCATCGCCGTCTTTGATCGGCCGGGTCCGGCGGCGTTGATCGGTCGGTTAATGGCGATCTTGATCTGGTTTGGTTTCAGGATCACGTACCTGCACGAGGGGCTGGAGCCCAAGGTGGTGCACAGGGACATCAAGTCGAGCAACATACTGCTGGACAAGCGGTGGAGCTCCAAGGTCTCCGACTTCGGCCTCGCCAAGCTCCTCGGCTCCGACAGCAACTACGTCACTACCAGGGTCATGGGAACATTTGGGTAGTACCTCCATATTTCCTTCATTTTTGGCACCTTAAATGCATCCATCGGTGTAATACATTGCCAAAAATGTGAGTTGTGTCTGAATTTGAATTGTGCTCCTCTGCTCTTTTTGGCAGCTACGTGGCGCCGGAGTACGCGAGCACCGGCATGCTGAACGAGAGGAGCGACGTGTACAGCTTCGGGGTGCTCATCATGGAGATCATCTCCGGCCGATGCCCGGTCGACTACGCCAGGCCTCCCACGGAGGTAGGCAGGCTAGCTCGGAATGTGTCTGTTTTCGTCTGTCATGCAGAATGCAGAATCAGCTCAACCATGGCTTGTGTCCCGTGGGTGCATCTCTCTTCACTCTTCAGGTGAATCTGGTGGAGTGGCTGAAGAAGATGGTGAGCAACAGGGACTACGAGGCTGTCCTGGACCCGAAGCTGCCGGAGAAGCCGTCGTCCAAGGCCCTGAAGAAGGCGCTCCTGGTGGCGCTGAGGTGCGTGGATCCCGACTCGCAGAAGCGGCCCAAGATGGGGCACGCCATCCACATGCTCGAGGTCGACGACTTCCCCTACCGAGAGGTGAGCCTCCCCGCTTCTTCTACCTCTTTATCATCAAGTCAATCTCATCGCTCGTTTGCTCGTACCAACTTAAATTTTCTGGAAAACCAAGTCAATTCCACGTCTTATGCCCGAATCCACGCGATTGCCGGGCTGCCGTCGTAAAAAATGTGTGCCAGTTTATACCGATCGGTGTGTAAATGCCTGATGATTTTTAAAGTGGACACCTCTGCATCTGAGGAGTCCGGAGAAACGGACAGGGCAGGTGCATCGGGGGTTAGAATAGCAGGGTGCTGGCTCTGATTACTAGTTGAGTGTCTGACCTTGGACCAAGCCTTCATTGCAGATTCCTCGAGATTAGTTAAGTTATCACCATGTTACTACTCTGTCTGTCATCTCGAAAAAGAACTCTTGATGACCTCGAGATCACCATGTCGCCATGGTTATTTTTATCAGATTGAAATTATGCTGCCCCCCTGAACTAGTCTTTGGTGGCTTGATCCGATGCTGTTTTGGCAGCTTCAGCATAAGCACACTGAACACATAGTATGATGACATATGCAATGTAGTACTTCCTCTATCCCATAATATAAAAACGTTTAATGCTCTTTATATTATATTACGAGACGGAGGAAGTATATATGTTTCTGCTATCGTACCGTCATTCTGCATCTCATCCAAAGTTTCAGAAACCAGGACTTAGTAACTCTGAAATTATATTTATCCCCCCTCAAAATCACAATTCTTTGACCGTCTCTGCTCGCAGGACCGTCGGACTCTGCGGCCGTGCCAAGGCAGTCCCCTGGAGAAATCGAGGAAGCCGGTGACAGAATCAGGCCACAGCAGCTGCTACGATGGCAACAGCAGCACCGCTGCCACCACGCCGTCCAGGTTCCAGTAGGGCTAGTTGGCTATGGCTCGCACGTCCTAGGGTTTTTGATCGTTGTCAATCACAATGCCTGTTGCGTTCAGCTCTAGGCAGCTTGGAAACGCAGTGTTGTAACTCGTTTTTTGTCAGTGTCGTTCTTACTCCCGTTTCTGCTGCCTCGTACTAGTTTTGTGGAAGCCCTGGTTGATCTGTCGAGGGTGTAGGTCAGCTATATCCTCGGTGAAAAGTTTCCCCTGGTTTGTCTGCTCTTTGTAGGTGTTGCATGCACACCCCCTGCTTCTGTGATTGACATAGCTCGCCGGACTGTTGTATAGTGATTTTTACTCTTGTGTCAGAACGTTTCTCGCTCGTCTCTTGTGTACAAAACTGTGAGTTCTACTGCCTCCGTTTTTAAATATGAGTCTTTTTACAGATTTTAATATGGATTACATACGGATGTGTATAGACTATTTTAGAGTGTAGATTCACTCATTTTGCTTCGTATGCAGTCCGCACTGGAATCTTTAAAGAAATTTATATTTAGGACGAAGGGAGTAGTTTTCTTCTTCATGCTTGGAAGCATGATCCGATATCACAACATTAATTGTTAGTCCTGTGCATGACCGATTGACCATCTTCCTAAATAAAGCATCCTATACTTACCTAAAAATGGGAAATACTTGCAACTATAGTAAATTATTCTTGTGTCAGACTGTTTCACGCTCATATCTTGGTCTGCAATAGCTTTAAAGATGCTCCCAAATTGATACGACCTGTCAAAATTTGACGTGCCTAGTGGCTAATATCACTACTTGTACTTCATCCGTCCCAAAAAAAGTGTCTAAAAAAATCATGAATTTGAAAAAAGTTCGCGCATTTGAATAAATGTTCCCGAATATGTGGATTTGGAAAAAGCTGCATTTGCAAAAAGTTCACAAATTCAATTTTTTTTTGCGGATTTGAATAAATGTTCACGAATTTATGGATTGAAAAAACTTCACGAGTTTGAAAAAAGTTCAGGGATTTGAATGTTCACGAATTTGTGGATCTGGAAAAATACCATGAATCTACCTATTTATTCGGGAGAAAAATATCACGAATTTATGAATCATGAATGCTCAAGTATGGCTATCAGCCTATCACCTCAAATTTCACAATTGCGAGAACACCCCAGTGGCTAGAGCCAAACTCCTCCACCCAGGGCTCAATCCCAACAACTCCACCCTTTTTTTTTGCCTTTTCTCCTTTAATTATGGTTGGCGTAAGATAGAATAGTCACGCCTAAGTGTCGCTTAAAAGATGGGTTGTACGATCTTGCAATTTTGGGCTGGCTACTTTTTTTAACCTTTTTTGGCAGATTCAAAAATTTATAAAATATTCATATCTTCCAAACCGTAACCCCAAAGTAAGCATATTATATATGGAAACTACTCAGAACAATG